TTTCGGTTCTTCCGGTATCTCGGATTTATTACGCCAAAGCTCCCATTCTAGATGGTGTGACCAAGATTACAGATTTCTAGATCCTACCGATCGTCGAATAGCTGTTAACCATTTCACAGGGCTATTTTTCGAAAACGTCGTCCGTGGGATTCGAACTCTAGACCTGCCGTCTGGGGGTGCAACAACTCCACCACTTCACTAAGTCGCCACACTTCTAGTCTCTATTATATATTAAACAATATTGCAATCAATAAAATGACAAAAATTAAATAAATAAAAAAATGAATTTTTTGTTCAATAAAAATTTTTTAATGCAAATTTATATGCTTTATAGCTATTTATAATAATCGAACTTCTTTGCTCCAAAAAAAATTATTTAAATAATCTATGCCATTCTAGCTATAGCAAACTCTCGTTATAGTAAAGATTCAACAGAATAAGAATTTGGAACCAAATATTTAAACATTATTGTCAATTAGACTAAATAGATATATTTTCAATCAGAATTGAATATATGTCTAATTTCGATTAAACTATGTTCAATTGCTAGATCTAGTTCAATTGACAAAACTGATTTTAACTAATAAAATGTATAGTATTCTCTTAATGTAAGAACTATATTAAAATTACTTGTATAATACTATAGCTGCATAATATTATACTAGCAAATAAGAATACACATGTCTGACATGGTTGCAATCTACAGGTTCATCTGAATTTGGAAGAGATAAACAATAGTGATCATTTAATGGGAATACGCTATTTTGCCCACTTTTTATAAAAATTTTGTTGGAAAAGCAAGTGAGTAATTGTAAAGAGTACTCAGAAGATTTAGATCACGACGGCCTTCTAATATTTAATCTGAGGGCTTCCAAATCTTGCGGAGCCGTGCTAGCCAGGCATACAGTGACCATTGCAGAAGATACTTCTTTAACTATCTCGGACCCTATTTCACCACCTTCTTCTGAGATACAAAACCTCAATCCTCCTACTAACAATATACAAACTCTTGAACTCTTTCTCGACAATAACCTTCTCGAAGACAATAATACCTTTCTTGAGGAAGAATCTAACAATGAACTAATTTCATCCCCCAACCTATATAATCAAAGATTTTCCACTAGAGCATTTAATATAGACAACTACACTAAACCCAATGCATGCTACAATAAGTTCCTTCACTATCACAGACTACCCAGCTTTCCTGCACCCCAAACTATAGGAACC